AATAGATTATATGTAATACAGTCATTTCTTATACTGTACAACATTTCTACAAAAACAAAAATACGATTTTTCAAAATTTACTCATTCATTATACTACATGTATTACAAAATGAAACTATAGACTGTTTTTGGCCGAGTTTTAGCTTTGAGTTTCACCTTGGAATCTTTAAAAGATTGTCATATTTGTTATAGCAATGTTAATCTCACCAAAATCATGAAAATATTTTTTTAAGATATATAATATATTAAAAAACAAAACCTATACTTGAAACATAAGTTACAAAATTTCGGACTGATCAATTTCCGTATTTTACCGTTATATTACGATCGTTTAAAATAATTTCACGATACCTCTTATTTCAAAAAAAAAAAAAAAAAACGCCTTTACAAAGATCAGCAAGAAAGCCAAGAAATTTAATAACGTTGGAATTGAGGAAAGTATTGGTTGCAATAAAAAAGTATAAAGGTCATCCTGATCATGTAATTTTGATAAAATTATTATCACCCGTCTTGAATTTTATCGTTATTGGCTAAAATAATCGCAAAATAAATTATTATATTTGCCTTCATCACTCGATGCGTGTTTTATGATTCAAATTTCGAAGAACAAAAATTATTTAAATGTGTTAATAAACAATATATAATATCACAGTACCTTTTATATCTTCTAATGAAGAAAGATTTCTTAGCATTCAAATGTGAATTTACGTTTTTAAAAAAAATTTAGAATGTCCACATGTCAAATAAACTTGTTTTAAGCATGTTAATCTGCCAATTCTAGTTATTTCTTTCGTATTCTTAATTTGCTTGGGTGAAACATATTTTATTACATTACTTTTATTGATACCGTCAGAAATACGTATTTAATTAAAATAAAGTTTTGCATTACATTCATTTTCACGATACCATAATAAGACGTTGGACAATTATACTTTCTACGCATAGAATGCACCGATGAATAAAAATTTCGTATTCAAATATGAAGGTTTTCTATTAAATCGAAGTAAATCATAGGATCCGTAACGTGATTTTAATAGCTTATCTCCCATATATCGAATAATTCTTTTTCTAAAAAAATGATGTGGAAAGTTCCCTTTAATTCAATATCATTTTTTATTTATTATTTGGACTCACTTAATGCATAATTTCTGAACCAATTTTATACGGAAACCACCAAAACGATATATATTTTTGCTTTTTGTTGTTAGCAATTAGAAATCTATGGGTGGATTTAATTTTACTATTAATGAGTATTTAGATGTATTTAGGATCGAATGTATACTGCAGGAAAAGCTTCGAATAATATCAAGTTTGAAGGATTTAAAGTAGGTTTCACGCATAGTATAAGTTGTTAATTTTTTTGCGGATTATTCTAATATTGTTTCGATGATGTAAGTTTGCAATTTACATGTGGCCTTTTGATTATATTACCTTTTTTTACACAAATTTCGTAATATGACTGGATTGAACTTTAAGACCTAAAATAATAATGTACATATTTTAAATTTCACGTCGTACAACACGATGCGAAAGATAGTAATTATATGATTTTATTTCACATAGGAATTGTCATATTAAAATGTTTTTTTTTTAGTTGGCGCATAAAAAGTGTGACAAATCCATTATGTCACATGCATATCTGTTTCATTTTTTTCATTTTCATGAAAATATGGGATTTTTATTAATTAATTTTTAATTATACTTGTTATTGTAATTTAAAGTCAATAAAATTTTTTATTTTAAAAAATAAATTTTATTAGGGTATAAGTTATTTTTATTAATTATTCGCATTTTAATTATACTTATTACTGTAGATGCATTCTAATTGCTAATAGACTAATAAAAAAATTAATTGATATTAACTATTAGTTCAATTGACATTAAAAAACTTTAAGAAAAATGTAGTTGCTGCTCCTTAAGGATAATGGTTCAGTTGGTGACTCCATAAAGTTCATATGTCTTTATTTGTTGAATCACTTAATATCGTCAAGTGTTCCATGAATTGTCATTTTCTTGCGAACCTTTGATTATTTTACAAAAACCTTTGAATTATTGCAAATAGTGCAAATTATGTAATTTCCAATATTCAAAGTTGTTTATATTTATTTTCCGTTCGGGTGCATTTAAACATCTTGCCGCATTGCGGATACATGAAGTAACGTTTGTATATTGCAAAGTCCCACATTATCACGTATAAATGTGTAGACAAGATTTATGTGAATTTTGAATTGCGCTTAAAAATTTTAATGCTAAATTATCAAAATTTCCATTAACTTCTATTTATTAATTTAAAGACGGCTGGCAAATTCAATTTCTTATTTAATTAAAAAAATAAAATAAAATAAAATAAAAATTTTGTTAGTGATTTACATTTAGAATTCCAATATCTTTCTTGTTATTTATAAAAGAATGTTCTTTATATAGCCTTACAATAGGATATAAATAGGCAGGCTCTAAAAAGTCATAAAATGTTAACGTTAATGAAATTATATAAATTATATCAATAGTTGATTTGTATGGAAGAGAGAAAGCTTATTTGATTAAGAATGCTACGAGGTTGATCGCAATCGTAGAATTTTTTGTTGGCAGCACCTTTTTTTTCCTATGAAGGTGATCAATTTTTGTAAAGTTTCTTATCATAATTCAACTTTATTCTTTTAGCACACACATTGTACTCATTGGTATTTTTTAACTGGATCAAATTTTGAACCACCACATCAACAAAGACCACGTTCATGAATGGCCCATAATTTTACTATTATTTGCGTTGGAGAAAATATTAAGAGAGTTCTAACGTCATCATCATACGACATTTGGTTTGTCACTTACAGTGGCGATCATAAATAATGCAACAAAAAAATAAATTTCATTAAAACGAAATGTTTCTTGTAATTACGGAAATAAATAAATTTTTTTTTTGTTATTTTTATTATTAATACTATAATTTCCTAATACTAAAATTTAAACATTAATTAATAATTAAATTATTTTATAAAGTGTATAATTATTCAGATAATGCTGTTGCATTATTTATTTTCGTTTTTAACACAACTCAAATAACAATTAAAACATCCGAAATTAATATACATCAGAACATTATTCTTTTTTAAAATATATTTTAAATTTGATACAATTACCACCTCGTACACCCTCCCTGAGCCTTAATAACATCATAAATCCTTTTTGCATAGACCGAATTAGGTTAGTACAGGTTTCAACATCGAATTCTTTCCATACCTGCTGTATCTTATTCCATAAGTCCTCTTTACTTGAAATTTGTCCAGGGAGATGTCTAAGCCGATGGTCAACCTCGTTCCATAAATGTTCAATGGGTTCAGATCGGGGATTAGGGTGGCCAATCTAGGACTGTCACCTTGTTTCTCTTAAGCCACTGTTTTGTTGAATTTGCCGTTTGCTTTGGATCTCTATCATGTTGAAAAATAATGTCTTTAACAGTAAAATCATGTGTCCTGATAGTGCCCATTAAATCCTCATGAAGAATTTGTTGATATAAGTTAGCATTCATGATGTCATCAATCTTACAATAACCACCAACACCACGAGATGTAAAGCATCCCCATATCATAACTGACCCACCTCTAAATTTTACTGTAGGTTTAATATGGTGGTCTTTTATTGGTTCTCCAGGATGCTTCCAGTAATACTGCTTACCATCCGAATCAAAAATCTTAAATTTTGATTCATCAGACCATATTACTTTTGACCAGTCCTCAACAGTCCAATTTTCATACTTTTTTGCAAAATTATATTGAGATTTTTTATGTTTTTACTAAGGTATGGCATTTTTCTTTTAACCCTTGCTACTAATCCATTATTTCAAAGTACACGACGAATAGTAGGTGTTGAAAAGTCAAGATTTCCTTTTTCTTGTAGTCAGTTTCGTACTTCAACAGCTGATGAACACCTTCGAGAAGTAATAAGATTAACAATCCTTCTTTGTGTTGATTCATTTACAGTAGGTGGACGACCTGTTCATGCTAATTCTTCAAGAGTGTGGGTTTCAAGCCATCTTTTTCTAATACGAGAAACTGTAGAAGGTGCAATAGCCTTTGCTACTTCTCTTGTTGTGTATCCATTTTGTAATGAAAGACGCTTTTTTGCTGCTACTCGTTTATTAAGTAGTTGTGACATATCACGGGATTAAATAATAAATACATTTTATACAATTTTTATGTAGCACAATTATGATCATCTGATTTATTTATTAATAGATATTAAAAATTTAATACCGAAAATAATGGTATTAACAAATAAAATTTTATTAAAGAGGGCGGGATATCTCTAGAATTGAAAGAATATTTAAATTTAAAGGATTTTATTTTTTTGTTACATTATTTATGATTGCCACTGTATATATTATATACACAATTTCTTCAGTAAAAATTAGTATTTTGTTTAGACTATCGTAAATAATATGAAGGTTTTGTTGATAATGCATCACCGGTTTTAATAACTTTAAAATTTTCTAGAAAAAATAAAAGACCTTTTGGTCACTTCATTGGTAAATCCTAAAAATAAAAAAAAAATTTTTCTTAATCATACGGAATTGCATCATCATAAGGATTTCGATTTAATGAAAAGTTTAAATGGTGTAATCTGAAAAACTTTTTGCTATTTTTTTTTCTTTTTATAAAAAAAATTGCTTTGACAAAAAAAAGAGTAACTTTTTTGATCAAAAGTCAGACATGAGAATAATAGAGCGACAAAAAGTTTAACTTTTTTGATCAAAAGATAGACATGACAACAATAGAGCGACAAAAAGTTTAACTTTTTTTGATCAATAAATAATAAAAATAGTAAATTGATGATCTTTTTTACCTCAAAAAAGTTTCTTTTTAATGATCGAATTCTTTTTTTTTTTTATATAAATACAGATTTTAAAAACAAAAGTAAGAGATGTTATTTTTTAAAAAAAAATTTAATAAACACACATCAATATATCATACAATAAATTATCTTTTGTTTATTAAACCAAAATCATGCCTAAAAATTTGAAGCAAACAAAAAATAAACGTAATAAACCGTTTATTATTGGCTCAAATAAAGATCCCATGTTGAATATAGAAACCAATATTATCAGTTCCAATATTGTTCTCGTTGAACTAAAGCCGAATTTCCCTCCTATTTTGACAGCAGAAGAACTCATTAAGAATGCTATTAAATCCAACGCATCCAAAAACATTAAGGCTAAAACGCTTCCAAATTCTTTTATCGCGTATAGAATGGCATTACAAAAGGAATATTATAAGAATGCTATTAAATTACCTCCAATGGGTCAGTTATCAATAATCGCAAAAAATTCTTGGGATAAAGAACCACAAGACGTAAAAAATTTTTACAAAAATCTAGCTAAGGAAGCTAGATTTTTGTATAAGCAAAACACATTTCAAATCATATTTGATAAACGAATGAATGAAGTTGAAAATGACCAAGGAAACGGGCAGGTTGCACCTTTGCATGTGACGGGTGAAAATTTTGCGGCAGATTTGGGTTATGCCAATAGTACCAAAACTAAAGATGTTGAGACTATGATCGATGCGCAGAACTCATCAAATGGATATCTTACGATAGAGGATTCTACTGTC